AAAAGGGACAGAGAGACAAAAGGAAAGAAAAAGAGAGAGAGAAAGAGAGAGAGAGAAAACACATAGCTGGCAAGCCACACCCACAAAGGAGGCCACACCCACAGAGTAGGTTTGAAAATTTTTTGAAACCCACCACTGACACACAAACACACACACACACACACACACAGAAAGAGAAAGAAAGGAAGAAAGAAAAAAAGAAAAAAGTGAGAGAGAGATGAAAGAAAAAAAGGAAAAAGGGACAGAGAGACAAAAGGAAAGAAAAAGAGAGAGAGAAAGAGAGAGAGAGAGAAACCACAAGGCTGCAAAGCCACTCCCACAAAGGAGGCCACACCCACAGAGTAGGTTTGAAAATTTTTTGAAACCCACCACTGACACACAAACACACACACACACACACACACAGAAAGAGAAAGAAAGGAAGAAAGAAAAAAAGAAAAAAGTGAGAGAGAGATGAAAGAAAAAAAGGAAAAAGGGACAGAGAGACAAAAGGAAAGAAAAAGAGAGAGAGAAAGAGAGAGAGAGAGAAAACACATGGCTGGCAAGCCACTCCCACAAAGGAGGCCACACCCACAGAGTAGGTTCAAAAAAATTTTGAAACCCACCACTGGTGCCCAGTATTATACATATGGAAATTACCATTATTATAGCATTAGAAAATGGTTTTTCGGCATTTATTCACCTGATGATGTCAGATTCCCGGGATTGAGGGAGTGCACTCCAGAAGACAAATGACAGTGCAGTTTAGATAGTTTGCGTGGGAGAAAGAGAGTTAAGACAGCTTCCCCCCTAGTTCGCAGAGTATATGCTTTTATGGGGCAAGTAGTCTGCTTTAGTTTGGCAAGATAGTTACCTGTAGGTGAGGAACAATAAAGGAAGTCGCTTAGAAGAGTGGTGTTTTTTTGTTTGTTCGTCCTTGCTAACATTGTTAATAAAATTCACAATAGGCAGTTTAATCTAATTGCCACGTATTGAGTTTCAGCTATGGTATATTATACTAAAAGACAAAGCAGTTTCTGTTTTTAAAGACAAGGCAAGTAAAACAATTATTGTCTGTCTGAAATGTCAGCTTTAAAAATACATTGAATATATCCACTCCTTAAAAGCCATCAAATATTCCCCCCCTTCAGTTCCACTGGAGCCACAGCTATTTGTGTGCATGAAATATTTTAACTCAACCTTACTTTAAGTATCATCCGAAAATGTTCTCTTTGTAGCAATATAATCTCATATTTTCATTGTCTTCCTAGATTGCGAACCTGCTGTTGTTTTTGTAATGATTGCCACTATAGAGTGGCTAAATTACTGCAAAAATAACATTAGGAACCAAATAGATGAGACAGCAGCCATGTTTTTTCAGAAAAGTATAATGCTAACATATTTTTATTCATACTACATGTAAAAATAGTAATATTTTGCCTAATTACAGTGATCTGGTTACCAAAATTAGGGTGAACAACTAACGTGATTTAACCATGTTGCTACACAATTTTCTTGTACCGCCATCGTCGATCAAGTCTCTGGATTGCATATGATAATTTTAAAACAAAATTCTACTTTTAAACGACTATAAAATAAGACTTCAATCTTATCTCCTCCTCTTCTTCCTCCTCTTCCTGTCAGTAACTGAAATAGGTCTCAAACCACAAGGAGAAGATTGTGGAAATGCTGAAAAACTAGCGGGATTCATTTGCTCCCGTAAGTGGAAACATAAGTTTCAATGACAGGTGTATGACTTTATCATCTTCAGTATGTATATGTTACAATGATCTCATTTTATGGTCTACATAAAATACACAATGTTTTCTCCGCTGGGTAACAATGAAAACCGTTCCAAAAACTTCTCATTATACTTGAAATATGTATCAACAGCAAGAGCAAAAAATAGCATCCTGTGGCATTCCACAACAGAAATATAAACACTAAAATGTAGTGTTCGTTTGTAGGGGGAAACCTGGTTCTTCACAGAATTAAAATGTCCAACCCCAGCCCGGGGTTCGCCATACCTTGCGGGGGGGGGGAGGGAAGACTGTCTGTCAAACCCTGAAGCTGCAAGCAGTGAAGCGGCGAGCAACGCAAAGCCAATGAACAACTGATCCAGGCCAATGCAAGCCTGCCAACGATCAGCTGATTGTGATTGCCTGCAAGCCGGCAAACAGGCTGTTGATCGACTGTGCTGGCATCCCAATGATCAGCTGATTGGACCTGCTGGGTGGTCAGCTATTCCAGAAGCGGAAGGGCACAGCATCCGCCTTCAAAAGGCGCTTAGTCCTAATTTTTAGTCCTTAGTTTTCGGAACTCACTGTGTGCCGAGAATCCGGCTTACTAAACCACTTGGAACTCGAAGCAAATGGCATCCTGATTGTGGGTTAGGTCTGGAGGTCCAGAAATCTCTAATCTTCTCTTGACAAAACATTTGCAAGAAAGAGAAATCATGTAGGCCATTTGCTGTTGGATGCTGCAGCATGATTTTCTCCTATTTTGCCAAGAGCGGGATTAGTTACTATTAGTTTACTATGGCAAAAACAACTTTTTGGACCAAATGTCACATTTGGGATTTTGAGAGCATGTCAGTTAAAGCACGCCCGAAAATGCCTGTTATGGGGGTATTATTTATGTAATACCCAATAAAGTGGGTATTGGCCAGTGTCAGAGCAACCATTTACCAGAAGTAATCCTGTCTTGTTATTTTCCTTACTATCCTTTCTGATTTCCTATAACACTTTCTATAACTCTTGAGATTTCTTTTTCTTTTTACTGAGCCAGTCAATGTACTTTCACACAATGCATGAACCGATTTTTTTTAAAAAACTTCTATTGGATCTGCAGCTGTACTAAGATGTGGAGACATTGTGTAAGTTAAGGCTAAAAATGGGTGCCTTATTTTACAGCATGCCAATTCCCTATTTAATTTTGTTTTGAATTTCTCCTGAAATTTTTATGAAAACACAAGAACTGCATGTTAGTTAAAACAAAGGTAATTGATAGTAGAAAATTTAAAATACATCATTCATATGGTTCACCGACAAATGCGCGCACGACAAAAGCGCGGCGAGAAAACAGTGAGGTTGAAATCGCGCCCACAACAGCACGCCCACAACAGCACGCCCACAACAGCACGCCCACAACAGCGTGCCATCAACAAACAACGCGAAAACAAGTTAATAACCCTAACCCTAACCCTAACCCTA